ACGTGCAAGAGGCGCAGAACCTTGTAGTGGTCCGGGGCGAGTACCTAAACTCGCGCGTCATCTGGTACAAAGCCTCGATTTACTCACTGCAGGACCTGGCTCATTCCCAAACCGGGTGAGAAAGTCGTCCATTGCGAGGAAGCCGGATATTTGCCCCGTCTACATAAGTCAGCTACCGCGTCTTCTAGAGACTTTTACTCTTCTCGGGGGTTCACGCACATCGTATCCAAAGATGAGTCCACCGATACTGACGATCAAAGCCATTGCGAAGATACGTGGTCGCAACAGCCGGATCTTGGAGTTGTCGACTTCAGCCTTTTCCGCGAAAGTCGGATCTGGGCCGCCGGTCTCTTGTCGTGGCGTCGTCTCGCCAGATGGAACAGTCGCATGTCCTGTGTCCTCCTTCGACTTCTTGCTGTGGAAGACCCGATAGGTGTCGATCCAATCGAGGAAGGACATGGGCATGCCCACGATTTGCGGCATGCTGAATATGTTTACTTGCGATCGCAGCTGGTGAGGGGGGTCGAGGGGGAAGATTCCAGTAGACGCAAGACAGTTCTTAGATGTCGGAGGAGACGGATGCGAGGTGAAGTCTCATCCCCGCGGTCTCCGACATGGTCAAGGCGATAATTCTAGTTGGCTTACCCACTTTTCGCCTACAGCAGACGTGCGAATGATAGGCGATGGAGTGGTCTCCATAGTAAACGTCATGGTCTCGCGCCGGCGAAGACTCTATCGGTCATATCGTGGGCTTGGCGGAAGCACATCCGCCAGCATCCTTGTGATTGCAGGGGCGACAACATGCGCGCGTGTTGCCAGCAAGTACGGCCGTAACATTACTTCAGCGGGCTGTTCGCACTGCGTTCTCCGAGATGGAATAATGATGCTTCACACACAGCTTCGATCCGAAGGAAGTGAGGTGCGCGTAAAGTGCGATTTGTGCGTGTCTGGTGTGCATGAGGAGCTACGTCATGCGAAATGTGCCGAACTTTAGCGTTCCGGCTTCGGCAGTGTGAGAACCGGCCAAGCCGCCTTGCTTCCGAGTGCCGACTGGAGAATTCCATTGTGGCGAAGATGCCTCAGCATCACGGGAAGGACGCAGGCGATGGCATCGTTGCTCTCCCACTCGTTTCACGTACCCTTCACTCTCGTGTCGAATGCCAACCGTTCTGGCACCCGCAAGTCAATCGCACCCTCCACCTGCTTCTTGAAAGCCATCAGCTCCGCCGTAGCCTGCTCGACGAGTTTGGAGTTGCCACGT